TCTCTAAATGTACTATGGGATGTAGAGCCTTCAGTTATCAGGCCTGCTTGTGTTACAGTCTCTAAATGTATTATGGGAGGTAGAGCCTTCAGTTATCAGGTCTGCTCATGGTACAGTCTCTAAGTGTACTACGGGATGTAGAGCCTTCAGTTATCAGGCTGCTCGTGGTACAGTCTCTAAATGTACTATGGGAGTAGAGCCTTCAGTTATCAGGTCTGCTCGTGGTACAGTCTCTAAATGTACTATGGGATGTAGAGCCTTCAGTTATTCAGGCCTGCTCGTGGTTACAGTCTCTAAATGTACTATGGGAGTAGAGCCTTCAGTTATCAGGCCTGCTCATGGTACACGGTCTCTAAATGTACTTATGGGAGGTAGAGCCTTCAGTTATCAGTCTGCTCGTGGTACCTACAGTCTCTAAATGTACTATGGGAGGTAGAGCCTTCAGTTATCAGGCTGCTGTGGTACAGTCTCTAAATGTACTATGGGAGGTAGAGCCTTCAGTTATCAGGCCTGCTAGTGGTACCTAGAATCTCTACATGTACTATGGGAGGTAGAGCCTTCAGTTATCAGGCCTGCTCGTGGTACCTACGGTCTCTAAATGTACTATGGGAGGTAGAGCCTTCAGTTATCAGGCCTGCTCGTGGTACCTACGTCTCTAAATGTACTATGGGAGGTAGAGCCTTCAGTTATCAGGCCTGCTCGTGGTACCTACAGTCTCTAAATGTACTATGGGAGGTAGAGCCTTCAGTTATCAGGTCTGCTCGTGGTACCTACAGTCTCTAAATGTACTATGGGAGGTAGAGCCTTCAGTTATCAGGTCTGCTTGTGGTACAGTCTCTAAATGTACTATGGGAGGTAGAGCCTTCAGTTATCAGGCCTGCTCGTGGTACCTAGTCTCTAAATGTACTATGGGAGGTAGAGCCTTCAGTTATCAGGCCTGCTCGTGGTACAGTCTCTAAATGTACTATGGGAGGTAGAGCCTTCAGTTATCAGGCCTGCTCGTGTTACAGTCTCTAAATGTACTATGGGAGGTGGAGCTTTCAGTTATCAGGCCTGCTCGCGGTACCTACAGTCTCTAAATGTACTATGGGAGGTAGAGTCTTCAGTGATAACACCGGCTCGTGGTATGGTCTCTAAGTATACTATGGGAGGTAGAGCCTTCAGTTATCAGGTCTGCTCGTGGTATGGTGTCTAAGTGTACTATGGGAGGTAAAGTCTTCAGTTATCAGGCTTGCTCGTGGTACCTACAGTCTCTAAATGTACTATGGGATGTAGAGCCTTCAGTTATCAAGCCTGCTCGTGTTACAGTCTCTAAATGTACCATGGGAGTTAGAGCCTTCAGTTATCAGGCCTGCTCGTGGTACCTACGGTCTCTAAATGTACTATGGGAGGTAGAGCCTTCAGTTATCAGGCCTGCTCGTGGTACCTACCGTCTCTAAATGTACTATGGGAGGTAGAGCCTTCAGTTATCAGGCCTGCTCGTGGTACCTACGTCTCTAAATGTACTATGGGAGGTAGAGCCTTCAGTTATCAGGCCTGCTCGTGTACAGTCTCTAAATGTACATGGGAGGTAGAGCCTTCAGTTATCAGGCTGCTCGTGGTACCTACAGTCTCTAAATGTACTATGGGAGGTAGAGCCTTCAGTTATCAGGCTGCTCGTGGTACAGTCTCTAAATGTACTATGGGAGGTAGAGCCTTCAGTTATCAGGCTGCTCGTGGTACTAGTCTCTAAATGTATTATGGGAGGTAGAGCCTTCAGTTATCAGGCCTGCTCGTGGTACCTCCGGTCTCTAAATGTACTATGGGAGGTAGAGCCTTCAGTTATCAGGCCTGCTCGTGGTACCTACGGTCTCTAAATGTACTATGGGAGGTAGAGCCTTCAGTTATCAGGCCTGCTCGTGGTATGGTCTCTAAATGTACTATGGGAGGTAGAGCCTTCAGTTATCAGGCCTGCTCGTGGTACAGTCTCTAAATGTACTATGGGAGGTAGAGCCTTCAGTTATCAGGCCTGCTCGTGGTACAGTCTCTAAATGTACTATGGGAGGTAGAGCCTTCAGTTATCAGGCCTGCTCGTGGTTACAGTCTCTAAATGTACTATGGGAGGTAGAGCCTTCAGTTATCAGGCCTGCTCGTGTTACAGTCTCTAAATGTACTATGGGAGGTAGAGCCTTCAGTTATCAGGCCTGCTCGTGGTACCTACAGTCTCTAAATGTACTATGGGAGGTAGAGCCTTCAGTTATCAGGCCTGCTCGTGTTACAGTCTCTAAATGTACTATGGGAGTTAGAGCCTTCAGTTATCAGGCCTGCTCGTGGTACCTAGTCTCTAAATGTACTATGGGAGGTAGAGCCTTCAGTTATCAGGCCTGCTCGTGGTACCTACGTCTCTAAATGTACTATGGGAGGTAGAGCCTTCAGTTATCAGGCCTGCTCGTGGTACCTACGTCTCTAAATGTACTATGGGAGGTAGAGCCTTCAGTTATCAGGCCTGCTCGTGGTACCTACAGTCTCTAAATGTACTATGGGAGGTAGAGCTTCAGTTATCAGGCCTGCTCGTGGTACAGTCTCTAAATGTACTATGGGAGGTAGAGCTTCAGTTATCAGGCCTGCTCGTGGTACAGTCTCTAAATGTACTATGGGAGGTAGAGTCTTCAGTTATCAGGCCTGCTCGTGGTACCTACAGTCTCTAAATGTACTATGGGAGGTAGAGCTTCAGTTATCAGGCCTGCTCGTGGTACAGTCTCTAAATGTACTATGGGAGGTAGAGTCTTCAGTTATCAGGCTGCTCGTGGTACCTACAGTCTCTAAATGTACTATGGGAGGTAGAGTCTTCAGTTATCAGGCTGCTCGTCGTACAGTCTCTAAATGTACTATGGGAGGTAGAGTCTTCAGTTATCAGGCTGCTCGTGGTACTCTCTAAATGTACTATGGGAGGTAGAGCCTTCAGTTATCAGGCCTGCTCGTGGTACGTCTCTAAATGTGCTATGGGAGGTAGAGCCTTCAGTTATCAGGCCTGCTCGTGGTACCTACAGTCTCTAAATGTACTATGGGAGTAGAGCCTTCAGTATCAGCCTGCTCGTGTAGTCTCTAAATGTACTATGGGAGGTAGAGCCTTCAGTTATCAGGCCTGCTCGTGTACAGTCTCTAATGTACTATGGGAGGTAAAGTCTTCAGTTATCAGGCTTGCTCGTGGTACCTACAGTCTCTAAATGTACTATGGGATGTAGAGCCTTCAGTTATCAAGCCTGCTCGTGTTACAGTCTCTAAATGTACTATGGGAGTAGAGCCTTCAGTTATCAGGCCTGCTCGTGTACAGTCTCTAATGTACTATGGGAGGTAAGCCTTCAGTTATCAGGCTGCTCGTGGTACCTACGTCTCTAAATGTACTATGGGAGGTAGAGCCTTCAGTTATCAGCCTGCTCGTGTTACAGTCTCTAAATGTACTATGGGAGTAGAGCCTTCAGTTATCAGGCCTGCTCGTGGTACCTACAGTCTCTAAATGTACTATGGGAGGTAGAGCCTTCAGTTATCAGGCCTGCTCGTGGTACCTACGTCTCTAAATGTACTATGGGAGGTAGAGCTTCAGTTATCAGCCTGCTCGTGGTACCTACGTCTCTAAATGTACTATGGGAGGTAGAGCCTTCAGTTATCAGGCCTGCTCGTCTACAGTCTCTAAATGTACTATGGGAGGTAGAGTCTTCAGTTATCAGACCTGCTCGTGGTGCCTACAGTCTCTAAATGTACTATGGGAGGTAGAGTCTTCAGTTATCAGGCCTGCTCGTGGTACAGTCTCTAAATGTACTATGGGAGGTAGAGTCTTCAGTTATCAGACCTGCTCGTGGTACCTACAGTCTCTAAATGTACTATGGGAGGTAGAGTCTTCAGTTATCAGGCCTGCTCGTGGTACAGTCTCTAAATGTACTATGGGAGGTAGAGTCTTCAGTTATCAGACCTGCTCGTGGTACCTACAGTCTCTAAATGTACTATGGGAGGTAGAGTCTTCAGTTATCAGGCCTGCTCGTCGTACAGTCTCTAAATGTACTATGGGAGGTAGAGTCTTCAGTTATCAGGCCTGCTCGTGGTACAGTCTCTAAATGTACTATGGGAGGTAGTGCCTTCAGTTATCAGACCCCTCTCTTTTGGAATCATCTACCACAGAGGGTTTGGGAGGCAGACACACTCACTTTTAAAAACAGACTTAAAATTGTACTTTTTTCATATAGCTTTTAGTTAGGGCTGGCGCAGGTATGGACCAGCTCCTACTTATGCTGCCGGTGGAACTGGCACATTGAGTTCCTATCTCTCCCTCTCTGCATTTATGTATCATCAAAGGTCACACTGCTGTAAGCACACATACACTCAAACACTGCTCTCCTTACAGTAGCATGACTCTATGAGATAGTTTACTGAAAATGAATTGATGGATCGCTGACAGTACGTAATAACACATTAACTCACCCTCTAAAAGTCAAGTGTCCGAGATGAATGATTAAACACTGAGCTGACAGCACACTCTGACATGAAACTTATCTGTGCAGAGTTAAAACAGCTGTTGGATTGATTATTAAATATTGATACCTGCTGTCAGAAGGACATCGTTTATTCAAACAAATATTTAAATCTGTGTTCTCTGTTTAACTCTGAGTTTGACAGAGGAGGGAGATTCCCCTTCATTCTGTTTAAAACTTTTCCGGTTTTGATGGGTCACATTGCCCTCTGCTGGTCAGGAGTAAGATGTACATGTGATTGTTGAAGGTTCAACCAAACACTCAGGATTATTAATGGATCTGCGAGATGATTCAAACATGAACAAAAACAAGAAAATAACAATTTGTCACTTTAAAATATATTCATGTATTTCATTAATGATTGGGTATATTTAATTAAACAAAGTATATCTATAATGTGTTCTTTTGAGTCTGACCTTTGACCCGCCATCTCTGCAAGCACAGCTGCTGCCTTCATGTGGGTCCGGAAAATATCGTGTCAAAACAAGTTTACAAAGCTCCGACACGTTGACCCGGAGATAAATTTGATGAACTTCTAGAGACGAAGTGATGCCAGCACACCTCTAAAAGATTAAATTAATGTATGTTAATTCCACAGACCTAACCTAACATGAGCTGCGACATCAGATGTAATAAACTCCGAGCAGCACTTGAACGCGGCAGGAGTAGAAGCCGTGAGGAGTTCAGGGTCCACTTTACGGTCACATTGTAGTTTTTACTCTTTTACTCTTTTATTTCTGGATGGATCCTCAGCCTCCACAGAAGCCGTGGGAGAGGAGGATACCTGGAGCCATGAGTACACCTGTGAACTACAGGTGAGCTAGCTGTAGCCGCGTTAGCAAACAGTGAGCTTGTTTATGTGAAACTCGGTGTTAATGCAGATGTTGTGGCTGCTAACGCTGAGGTCGAACAGAGGAGACAGAGAGAACGTTTTCTGCATGTTGTAGAGACTCAATAATAACATTAATTAATCAAATCAGCTGATCAGTTTGAATCTTTTAACGTCGACTCACCTGTAAACTCCGTGAGCTGTTAGCTTAGCAGTTAGCTTAGCAGTTAGCAGGCCTGTGTCTCCTCTTGACCCCTGACCCGCCGGACCTCATTCATAGTCACATTGTTTTCTTCAGTGTAAATAAACAGTTAATAACTTCACAGTGATCTTTAGAGACTTTGTCTTCTTTCTGCATCACTTGTATGAAAACTTTCATTAATATGAAGTATTATAAAACTTCACAGTGATCTTTATTGGCTGTTGTATTTCAGTTTCTGCCTGATTAATAAACCATGTTGTTCCTAAATATCACAATTTAGACTTAACCCTAACCTGTTTGTTACCATGCCAACATAAATAGAAATCTTACACCTGATATCGGATAGTTTCATTTCTCTCCGGTCTCATGAAACGGTTTTCTCTACTTTTTGAGATTATAATACACTGAAATATAAATGAAGATGTTTTGTCTCATTAGGTCTGTAAACTTGGCCCCGCCTGTTGGCCCCTCAGGCTCTGTGGGCCCCCCCGTCCTGACCAGGATGGCCCCCCCTGTGCCTCCTCGTTCTGTCCAGCAGGCCTACCGTCCCTCCTACGGCGCCTTCTCCTCCTCCTACAGCCCCTATGGGAGCTCCATGTACGGTGGGAGCTCCATGTACGGGGGGTACAGCCCCTACAGCTATGGCGGGGGTTTTGGCGTGGGGGGGTACGGCCGCCTCCCCCACACGGAGGAAGTGGCGCCCAGCCGGTTTGTGCAGCAGGCGAGGAGAGCAGCAGGGGAGCGTTCCAGTCCATCGAGAGCATCGTGCAGGCCTTCTCCTCCGTCAGCATGATGCTGGACGCCACCTTCTCCGCCGTCTACAACAGCTTCAGAGCCGTGCTGGACGTGGCCAATCACCTGACCCGCCTACGTGCTCACCTGACCCGCGTCCTGTCAGCCTTCGCTCTAGTACGCACGCTGCGTTACCTTTACCGCCGCCTGCAGAGGCTGCTGGGCCGGCGCTCTGACACTGAGGTGGAGGACTTGTGGACGGACAGCGCCAGTGACACCCTGACTGCAGCTGGAGGGGCGGAGCTTCACACCCCAAAGTCCTGGCCCATCTTCCTGTTCTTTGCCGTGGTCCTGGGGGGGCCGTACCTCATCTGGAAGTTGCTGAGCTCTAGCCCCGCCCCCGAAGAGCAAGGTGGGAGTCCTTTTCAAAACCAGTTTTCACAAAATCAGAATTTAAAATTTAAAAATTAAAATCTAAAAAAGATTCACATCTGCAAATAACCGAGATCTGTGTTTCCATGTAGACTCAAACTGGGCGAGTGGCGAGGACGACCACGTGGTGGCTCGAGCAGAGTTTGATTTCTCAGCAGCGTCAGAGGACGAGATTTCTCTGAGAGCGGGAGACATGCTGAACCTCGCTCCTAAAGGTGAGAACTGTCCTGCTGCTCCTTATTCTGTCCTCACCTGTCCTCACCTGCTCTTACCTGCTCTCACCTGTCCTCACCTGCTCTCACCTGTCCTCACCTGCTCTGTCCTCACCTGCTCTTACCTGCTCTACCTGCTCTCACCTGCTCTCACCTGTCCTCACCTGCTCTTACCTGCTCTTACCTGCTCTTACCTGCTCTCACCTGTCCTCACCTGCCCTCACCTGTCCTCACCTGCTCTCACCTGTCCTCACCTGCTCTCACCTGTCTCACCTGCTCTCACCTGCTCTCACCTGTCCTCACCTGCCCTCACCTGTCCTCACCTGCTCTCACCTGTCCTCACCTGCTCTCACCTGTCCTCACCTCCTCTCACCTCCTCTCACCTGTCCTCACCTCCTCTCACCTGTCCTCACCTGTCCTCACCTGTCCTCACCTCCTCTCACCTGTCCTCACCTGTCCTCACCTGTCCTCACCTGCTCTCACCTGTCCTCACCTCCTCTCACCTGTCCTCACCTCCTCTCACCTCCTCTCACCTGTCCTCACCTGCTCTCACCTGTCCTCACCTCCTCTCACCTGTCCTCACCTACTCTCACGTGTGTGTGTGTGTGTGTGTGTGTGTGTGTGTGTGTGTGTGTGTGTGTGTGTGTGTGTGTGTGTGTGTGTGTGTGTGTGTGTGTGTGTGTGTGTGTGTGTGTGTGTGTGTGTGTGTGTGTGTGTGTGTGTGTGTGTGTAGAGCTTCAGCCCCGTGTGCGCGGCTGGCTGCTGGCGAGCGTGGGAGGTCAAAGGTCAGGACTTGTCCCTGCTAACTACGTGAAAGTTCTGGGGAAGAGGAGAGGACGGAGACCGCTCAGCTGCAGCAGGAGACCACACACACACACCCTGCCCCACAAATAACCCCCACACCCGGTCCAGACCCCCCTTCAGAGGATCTGCTGGAGTGTGTGTTCACAGAAACACCCGCATCAACCTGCAACCTACCTACACAGACACAGACACACACACCTGACGAGAGTGACCTGTGATGTGTGTGTGCGCGCTAAATATGTGAAAATGTTCAATACTTCTATACTTTACAGAATCAACTGTTAAAAAACAATATACTGAACATATGACCGATCCTCACACACACACACACACACACACACACACACACACACTCTGTGTGTTCATTGGTTAGTTTAATGGTTTAACATGTACACAGCTGATCTTCACATCATGTAGAGGTGTTTACATGAATCATTTCACTGTACACACACACACCGCTAGCTCAGTGTGTGTGTGCGTGTGCGTGTGTGTGTGTGTGTGTCAGCTCTAACTCACAGATAAAAGTGTAAATATTTAATATAAGTTTTTGAAATAAAACATTTTAAAATCACGTTGTTCATGTTTCTCTCCTGTCAGCGTGATAATGTCTGAACTGAGTAATTTAAAGGTGGAGTCTGTAGAAATGTTTGTAAACATTGAAACTGGCCCCTCCTCCTCCTGGCCCCTCCTCCTCCTGGCCCCTCCTCCTCCTGGCCCCTCCTCCTGGCCCCTCCTCCTCCTGGCCCCTCCTCCTCCTGGTCCCTCCTCCTCCTGGTCTCACCCTCACTGTGTACGTTCACTGCACAAGCTCACCTCCGGTGTTCATCACCTTCCTGTCCAACAGGAAGTAGACCAACTCCACGTCCAACACAAGGTTCACCCTCGTTTAAGAACGAGCTTTATCCACTTTCTCCTCACTCTGATTATATTTTCTCTTGTTATTTATTTATTTATTAGTGACTATCTTTGAGTGTCATCTTCATATTTTAACTGTTTATTTTATTTTTTACTTCACATCCTACAACTTTAGGACATTTACGACAGAAATGTTGTGTTTACAGTCGTTGCCTGCTGTTGCCTAGCAACCGGACGCTTACCTGCTGCACTGCGACACCGGGATGAGTGTCTCAGTTTATAACAAGCGTTAATTTAATATATTTAAAATTTGACTGCCGAGTTTTTAACGTTAAAGTAAAAGGTGTCGGGAATGTTTCCCGCTCAAACTGAGCTTAACGAACAAGCATCCGTGTTTATCTGACGTTATTCAGCTAGCTGCTATGCTAAAGCTGTTATGCTAACTAACCGACGCAACGTTGCCTTCACGGACTATCGGAAATATCCTAATCATGGTCAGGATTAGTTTAAAGATTCGTTTCTCATTCAGCGATGCGTTTATATTCCTATAATAATTATAGAAGCATAAACTGATGGTCCTCTGTGTCTGACTGGACGGTAAGAACTGATTCCACGCTCCTATATGTAAAGCACTCCGTCCCGTCTATAAACTGAGTACACTATACAGTTAAATGATATGAAGGTGTATTTATTTTACATGTCATGCTTACAGTAAAACTAAGTAAAATCCGCCCAATATAAACCCTAACCCCTAAACTGAGCATCACTAATGTCTGACAGCGTTACTGGAGTTTACAAGCAGTCCGTGAAGGCAGCAGAGTTAGCTAACGTTAGCATAGTGAAAAGCCAGCCTGCAGAGCAGCATCAGCATCATCATCATCATCATCATCATCATCATCCGGATATAATCATCCTGACACAGACGCAGGCGGACCTCACAGGACCAGACGACACCACAGCAGGTGAGAATGTTTATTTATTAATGTTTCTGCACTTCTTATGTGTTAAACATAAGTTTATTTAATTTGACCTGAAAGCAACACCGACATTCGGACTGGGCCTGCGCAGCATCACTACAGTACATACGCCCATTTAAGGAGGAGGGAATGAGTGCAATATATAGTCCACTACACATAACTCCCTACTGAGTACACTATATAGTCCACTACACATAACTCCCTACTGAGTACACTATATAGTCCACTACACATAACTCCCTACTGAGTACACTATATAGTCCACTACACATAGCTCCCTATATACTGAGTACACTATATAGTCCACTACACATAGCTCCCTACTGAGTACACTATATAGTCCACTACACATAACTCCCTACTGAGTACACTATATAGTCCACTACACATAACTCCCTACTGAGTACACTATATAGTCCACTACACATAACTCCCTACTGAGTACACTATATAGTCCACTACACATAGCTCCCTATATACTGAGTACACTATATAGTCCACTACACATAGCTCCCTACTGAGTACACTATATAGTCCACTACACATAACTCCCTATATACTGAGTACACTATATAGTCCACTACACATAACTCCTACTGAGTACACTATATAGTCCACTACACATAGCTCCCTACTGAGTACACTATATAGTCCACTACACATAACTCCCTACTGAGTACACTATATAGTCCACTACACATAGCTCCCTACTGAGTACACTATATAGTCCACTACACATAGCTCCCTACTGAGTACACTATATAGTCCACTACACATAACTCCCTACTGAGTACACTATATAGTCCACTACACATAACTCCCTACTGAGTACACTATATAGTCCACTACACATAGCTCCCTACTGAGTACACTATATAGTCCACTACACATAACTCCCTACTGAGTACACTATATAGTCCACTACACATAACTCCCTACTGAGTACACTATATAGTCCACTACACATAACTCCCTACTGAGTACACTATATAGTCCACTACACATAACGCCCTACTGAGTACACTATATAGTCCACTACACATAGCTCCCTACTGAGTACACTATATAGTCCACTACACATAACTCCCTACTGAGTACACTATATAGTCCACTACACATAACTCCCTACTGAGTACACTATATAGTCCACTACACATAAATCCCTACTGAGTACACTATATAGTCCACTACACATAACGCCCTACTGAGTACACTATAAAGTCCACTACATATAACTCCCTACTGAGTACACTATATAGTCCACTACACATAGCTCCCTACTGAGTACACTATATAGTCCACTACACATAACTCCATATAAACTGAGAAAACCACTACACAGAACTTCCTATATACTGAGTACACTATATAGTTCACTACATATAACTCCCTATAAACTGAGAATACTATATAGTCCATTA